AAAGATTGACATCTAGCATGGAGCTAAAATAAAATATTCTTTTTTTTTAGCTCTATGGTTCTTAAGTTAATTGTGAATATCTCTTGATAATAAATGGATATCTCAAACTACTTTAGAATATTGCATGTACAAATTATTAAAATATGAATAAATAATTAATTAAACAGTTTTATTATAAACCCGGTAACGTAGATTTGCTGTGATGTACACATAACTTAATGTAATGTATTACGCATCAGCTAGTGTGCAACAGAGCATGGTCCTCTGTATGCTGAGGAGGTCATCCAAATTCAAGGTCAATATTTTCTAAATGGTACAATGTTTCTAAAGCAGTTCATAAGTTCCCTTGTGTGCCAATGCCAAACATCATTATTCATAAAGATTTTAGTGACTACCAAAAATATGATATGATGTTATTTTAATTGAAAAAAAATGCCAAAATACAATAAGATTGTGTCCAGTCCAGTCTTGCAACAAAAATGAATAGTATTTAAATGCATCTGGAATGACAAAGATTTACGTCCATTTCGATTTATTGCAGTCGGCATTAATTAAACGTGAGTGAATTCCACTCCCAGGAATAATTAAATATTTCCAACAATTTGACATAGTAACCCCTTAAAGTTAATAAACCTTTAAAAACTTAAAAATACAGTAAATATTTCACTTTGTTAAAAAACTTTCTTATGCCTATCTCTTTGCAGATTTTCTATTGGCTGTTCAACTACATTTATGCATAAATACCTATTGTTTTATTTATGAACAATGCAAGAAAACTATTGTTCTATTGTGTGAAAAACATACGTAACAATAACAATGTTTGGATGGATCAGAAGATTCTGGCACAGACATCGGACAAAATTATTTGTGACTGGAGCTGTAATTGGAGGTAAATATGTCTATGCTATTATTATGTGTTGTGGGTTGGTGGTCTTGCAGCATGTTTTTAAATTATTATTATAACAAATAATTGTATTTAACATGCGTTATATACATTGCATGGGACCCACATTGAATTTGATGATAACATTGTTCACAGTTAAATACAACAAATGTATTCCACTGCTCTGTCAAGCTGGCATCATGGTACAATGGCTATGATTATTGACTTTCAAGTTGGTTTGTTTGTAACTCACTGTGTCACCGTAACGTCATAAGTTACAGCGTGACGTAATTTTGCGGTATTTTACGAGGTATTTTCAACCTACCATATAGACAAATGCAAATTCCAAATATGGAATGATTATGCGCATAAGCCTCCTCTAATAATAAAAAACAAACATGGCTACCATGGCTTGATACACAAAGAAGTTCGCTAAATCTGTTAAAAATGTTTTGGATTTTGGCATTCCCATGTATTCCTGGGAGGGAAAGCTGTGTAATAATAAATTTATTACGAGGATACTGCACAGTATGCACTCAGACCTCTGCGCACCGATCGATATTCTCACTGTACTGTCTTTGTGCATACTTTGCAGTATCCTCGTAATAACCTCATAGCCAAAGTATGTGTGAAAGCAGTGTGGTGTTCGTATCGACTAACGTGTAATCAAAAATAGCAACAAAGAACATTTTGTTCTGTACGAACTTTTGTATTCAATGAGTTCTTATTTTCGTTATGCTGCATCTGAAGTAAACAAAGGGAAGTGTTTGAAGGAAGGAAGACGTGTCTGTAACACTTAAAAGACATTCTTACAGCATTTTATGGGCGGGTAAATTCTATTGTTTTCAGCGTCAGGTGTAAAATAAATGTATTTATTTTGTCAGGTGCTGTACTATTGGGTAAATATGCCAGTTGGAAATTGAATGAACTCCGCGAACAAGAAGCAGTCGAATATTTGTCTTTGACGAGAAGACAACATCATTTTGACAGCAACCAAAGAACCTGCAACATGACAGGTAGGTGAGGGCGAATGAGGTAAAGGCTCAGAGACATGTGACATTTTTCAATGAAATCACGCAAGACAAAAATTATATTCATCTCTCCACAATATAGAGCATTTTCCCAGCTTTTTTGCAGTATTTTTCAAGGTGCACATATAAAAAGAGCGAGAATTCTTTGTTTATTGTTTATTAAAACTAACTGTTTTTCTATTTCCCTCCCAGTACTCTCAATGATTCCAAATTTGAAAGAAATTTTAATGCAGTTATTAGATTCAGAAAATTTGACAGCTCAGTTGAAAAACAAGTAAGTATTTTTCTGTGTAATCTTGTGGGCGAACATCTAGGTATTTTCATTGCCTGGCAACCACATCAGGTAAAAAAAAATTATTGAAAACTCTCAAAAAACTGTACTTTGGGCTAGTTGTTGACTCTCGTGAACAAGATATCAAGATTATTCTTACATGGCCAATTGAAATTTGAGTGTCAGGATTGTCTCATAGTTCGTTTCCTCAACGTCAGTCGTTTCTTCGACCACCATTCCCCAGCAGTTCGCGCAGAGCTCATACAAATACTTGGTGCAGAAGTGCATTTCTTAGCAACATAGAACATTTACAAATTATTTTTGCTTTACAAATTTGCAAAGATTTGTCTCGTGTGTAATTAAAGCAGTTTATAGCAGTTGTTCAGCCCTGA